TCAAACGCTGTAAACGAGATTTGAACGATCAAAGAAAAATGTCATTTCAGCTCTTATAGGACAAGGATGGAAGAATACAAACATCTAGAAGATCTATCGAGGAAATCGTTAGTGAATTTTACACGCAGCTTTTCCGCCCTTTCTTAAACCTTTCAGGGTACTCTTTACCGACTGCTGAAGACCCCTCCCCCTCCAATTCTGGAATGTTGCAAACGCGAAAAAAAGATGAAGAAAGGGAACTGCTCCTGGTCCCGATGGCATATCTGCCGATCTTCTTCGTGCAGGAGGAAAGTCCCTTCACACACTTCTCGCTGAGCACTTCAGTCATTACCTGCAATTAGGAATGATTCCAGAACAGTGGAGAGAATCGAGAACAGTTCTTCTGTTCAAGAAAGGCCAGAGGGAGGAGATTGCCAACTACCGACCTATCAGTCTGCTCTCGACGATATATAAGTCGTTCACGAAAATACTGCTCAACCGTATGGAACGCATCTTGGACGACTATCAACCACCAGAGCAGGCCGGCTTCCGCAAGAATTTCTCCTGTATGGACAACATACAGGCAGTAACACAGCTCATAGAGAGGAGCCGCGAGTACCATCTTCCACTTGTCCTCGTCTTTGTGGACTACAAAAAGGCCTTCGACTCAGTGGAGGTTAATGCTGTTCTCAACGCCCTTGTGCGAGCCGGAGTACCCTCTGCCTACATTCGCCTGCTCGAACAGAGTTTATCGAACACATCAACAACCCTGCAACTGTTCGAGCGCAAGGTAAAAGTACCCATTGAGAAAGGGGTACGGCAGGGGGACACGATATCCCCGAAGTTGTTCACGGCAGCACTACAGTATGCGATGTCAAACCTCAACTGGGATGACAAAGGATACTTGATTGACGGGAAAAGAATAAGCAACCTCCGTTTCGCCGATGATATCGTTTTGATATCCGATAATACAGTCGAAATGGAAGATATGGTAAACGAGCTCGACATGATTGGTCAGAAGATTGGCTTGGAAATGAATATGTTCCAAAACGAAAACCTTCAAGAGCACCTCCTGCCAATTTCACAGTACTGGTGTGACGCGGTAACTGTGAAATTGGCAGGAGTTGCTCTCGAAAGAGTGGATTCCTACGTGTATCTGGGAAGAGAGCTAAACATGCTGAACAACATCTCTTCTGAAATAAGCCGCAGGAGGCGTGCAGCATGGGCAGCTTTTGGAACGATTCGTGAAGTAACGGAGCAAATCAAACCCTGACCCAAGAGCCTCGATATTCGACACGCCACGGTGCTGCCAGCGATGTGTTACGCGACCGAAACCTGGCCTGAAAACAGGACAATCACCAAGGCAATGCAAACTACGCATCGTGCACTGGAGAGATGTCTTTTGAAGGTCGGCCGCCGCCAGCAATGGCAACAAGGTCTACGAAGTACAGACCTAAGGGAGCGGTCGAGATTGAAAGATCCGCTGCAGTATATGGCGCAGTGCAAACACCGCTGGGCTGGTCACTTACTCCGCCGCAACGATGACAGATGGAGTCTCCGCATCGCTCCCAAGGAACGCAAAACGGCCTCTGGGACGACCACCAACGCGTTGGTCCGACTCGGACTCGTTTTTGAAATATTTCAGAGAACGCGGTCCACCACATTGGATGCAAGTCGCCAGAAATCGTGCGTTATGGAAGAGCTGTGGTCCCCACTGAAGATCAAGCCAGTTGAAGGACCACCAACTTATTAAGTATTCCGGACGAATGTCGCTGACGCAGCGTTTGTAGTTCAAGACACCTGCGACTGCACAGTCCTAGTGCTTGCACATCGCGGAGAATGCTTAGGCTGCGTTCATGCTTTGCAGCAGCGTCGACCAGCGTCTCACAGCGTCCACCAGCGTTCCGAATATCCGACAGTCTCAGCGACTAAGGAAGTACAGTCCTCATCATTGCGGACCGGTGGGGCGTGGCAGTGCGGCTGCGTTTGGTGCGGTTTGGCAAAGTCGTTCTGCACCAGTTTTTGAAGCGGGCAAGTGCATTACTGTATTATATCCTTCGTATTACTCGTTTTCTACCACTTTTTGTCGCATACGCGTTGCAACAAAAAAGGCTGAGAACGGCTTCAACAGTGTATAGGTATAGGTCTAGCGTTCTCCAGCGTCTAAAAGCGTCTAGCAGCGTCTCGAGGGCTAGAGGAGTAAAGATTTCGATCCAGGTCTGCCACAGTCTGCCACCGTGCACCAGCTTCTCCCAACGTCCGGGAGAGGGAAGTATGGCGCGACAGGTGGATAGCAGGCAGCCGATACTCTTTTATCGCACCATACTCTCTAACAGCAGTCTATCACTCTCCTAACTCCCCATATTCTACCAGCTGTCTGCGACACTCC